TTTTTTTTTTTTTTTTTTTTTTTTTTTTTTTTTTTTTTTGAGAAAGGAGCTTGCTATGTAGCCCAGGCTGGCTTGAACTTGGGATCCTCTTGGCTCAGCCTCCCAAGTGCAGAAATTCCAGGTGTGCACCACCACCAGTGCCTGATTATCAGGACATCACTGTTAGTATAAAAGCCCATTCATCCATTATAGTAAGATAAATCACAGAGTTTGTGAACCCCTTACACTGGTGCGCCTGGAAACTGCTGCTGTCTTTGCTCCAAAACTTGCTGATTTAATAGCTGCTGCTGTTTCTGTAGAAACTGGACAACTTCTGGACTTCTCAGTAATGACTTAAAGAGAGGGAAAATGGATTATTAATAGAATTATCATATTTTTGTTTGCTTGTTTGAGATCATGTCTCACACCATAGCCAGGCTGGCTTTAAAATCCAGGTAACACCCCTGGCCTGAGTCTTTCAAGTGGTAGAATGTTATAACAAAGTATCAAACACAATGATGGATCTTTTACATCTGTTGCCCTATTTTTCCCATGTCACTTTGTAGTTTAATTTTCAGCATTGTCTTTGTCTACATTTTTATGTTGTCAAGTTTAAATCTTCGTGATTCTTTGGTATTTTAAAACCTCAATGTAGAATTTTGAGATAAAATCCAAATTGATTTTTGAAAAAAATTTCTAATATTCTACCAAAGACTTATATAGTAAGTATGGTTTAAGTTCTTTTTTCCTTCAAATTACTATTCAAATATTCCAGTATTTATCAATCACTCCTTTCCTGATTGACTTCTGATCATTTCTATCAGTTTTATATCAGAGACCTTTATTAAATATTAGTAATTATATTTCAATACATTACAGTACTATTTCACATATTTAGAGTCTGTTTTAAAATCTCATCTTGCGCAAAGATGAGTCAGTGAAGAAACAGGCCTGGCTCAGGGTGTTCCTTCCACTGCAGTACTGGGGGGAGTAGGGGCACCTCCAGCGTGCCCAGTGATGAGGTACTGTGCGGTTCTGATGGCAGTGAACAACTTTTAAAGTTTTACAAAGGCAAAAAACTGAGAACCAGCAGTTTTTTCTAACAGACCTACAATTACTTTATGAGAAAACACTTACCAGTCTTTTCTGATTTAACACTTGTTCTAAAAGAGTAGGCCTTGCAGGGCGATCCCCGAAAGATCCTGTTCTTTGCTTGACAATGGAGAGTATGTTGTCTGTACTTTCCTGGGATCAATGAAAGAACATTTAACACTATTGTAATTCATTACAGCAGGCAATTCAGTTATATGAACATGTCTTTGTTCAGTTTCTGTGAAACTTGGGAAAGCCTCTTGGTAAGTCACAGGCAGCATGTTGGCAATTAATTCAAAGTAAGACTCCTCCCTGCAGGCTTTCCAACCTGGGTTCTTCAGTCTTCTGTAAGGACTCAAATCAAAGATACTGGGCATAGGGGAAGTTACCTCTAAGCTGTTTTCAGTATTGCAGAAGAATGGCAAGTAAACCAAATTCTCCTCACACAGAACAATCTAAGTCAAAACAGTCTGCCTGTTGTGGGACAAAATAAATGAACTCAGAAGCAACCTACTGCTAATGAGATACTGGATTCACACCTGATTCACACCCCCCAAGAAGGCAGAGGCAGCAAAACACTGCTGGCGGAAGCAAACAATACAGCTTTCTGAGTAAACTGGCTGGAAGGGCTGGAAATCACAGCTGGGAAATCACAGTACAGAGCAAACAGTTCTGTAATAACAACCTAACCCTGAGGCATCAATTCCCACAAAAAATTAGCAGTGCTTACCCCCAAATATGGAAGAACCTAAATATTTACCTCTTCCTTACATAAAATGTTACTGAGGTTAAATGAAATATTCTGCCCCTAAAATCACAATATGACAATGAAAACGGGGAGAAACTTGACTAAGGGTTGACTTTAGGGCCTGGCACACGCAAAGAATACACTTAAACAAAATACTTTACCATGAGGCCAGGCACTACATGAACTTAATAGTGTTAGCTTTATTTGGGATATTGCCTCTCTCTCTCTTTTTTTGGTCTTGTCCTTTTTTCTGCTGGCTCCTGAGCTATTAAAATATCCCCCCCCCATTATGAGATATTTAGAAAATCTCGGTTGTAAAAATCTTCCATGCACACATGTTTTACTCTCAAAGCATTAACTATAAAGGAGGATTCTACTATCACAGACAACAAAGACAATTTCTTCTAACTCTCCCCAGTTACCCTTATTTATAAGGACTGTTTGGTTTATGTAGTACATGTAATGCTAGAACTGACTTGGGTGGTAATACCACAAAATCAAAGACGCTTGTAGTAGAAACAATTTTGAGTCATCTAGGCCAAATTTCCACAAGTGTTAGGATTCCCCTTTCAAAGGGAATTTTTGTGGTAAGGAGTCTTCCTACGTGTTATGGATTCTTTTTCGTTTTTAAACAGCTCAAACACTTACGTGGATTTTGCTAAGTTTGAGCGGAAATGCACACCAACTAGAATCTTCACTTAACGAAAATAAATCTGAAGAAACACAGCTTGGGCCAATAGGAGCTGAAACTTCATCGAGGTGAATAACGGGCCCAAGTCCACACAGCTGCAGCAGAATCCCAGTTGCAGACAGAGCACATCCGGTCTTTCATCCTCTCATGCAATTCACATTCAAGCAATCCCGAAGTGCTCTGTGACTCACACCCCACCAACAAGCCAACTTTTCTGGGGGAGGGTTGGTTAAGGAAAGGATGGGAGCACTAAAGTTACTGACAACCAAGAACGGGGTTTTGTAAACCTGCAGGATGCCACAGGGTAGATAGAGACTAGGGAGGGGTTACTGACAAGAGTAGATCACCTCCAAAGTACCAATGTCAGCTGGGGTTCCCGCTTTCTGCTCACTTACCACCGGTGTGGAAGATGGGCCCAGCCCCCCCCCCCAGTCCCCCGGGAGCAGGTGGGGGAGCCCCTGCATTTGTGTCGAGTGGGGTTGCACCCACCTGCCCTGGCCCGGGGCCCCCAGGCGCATACCTCCAGCTTGAGTTTGCCT